ACATTTGGACAAGTAAACAAAAATTAAATTCTTTCTTTATTTACAGTTTCGTGTCATCAAATCAAAATATAAGTTAAAAATCATTTGATCCGAAATGAAAAAAAGTCCAATATCTCTGTATATTCTCATCCCTTGTTCTCTCCAGCAAACTCCTCGTTCTCCAACATTAAACATTTGGACAAGCAAACAAAAATTAAATTCTTCTTTATTCACAGTTTCGTGTCATCAAATCAAAATATAATATAAGTTAAAAATCCTGAATCATCCGACCCGAAAAGAAAAAAAGTCCAATATCTCTGTATATTCTCATCCCTTGTTTTCGCCAGCAAACGCCTCGTTCTCCAAAAACAAGAACCGCGAGTTGTAACCCCACCAGCAGAAATCCCCCAAAATTACACGAGCCGCGCTTCCGATACGGGAAACACGATACGCGCATGCATTTAGGTAGCACGCCAGTGACCTTAACAAGGCGCGCTAATAAAGCAAACGCGTCGCACGAGTCGAGATCAGAAAGCGCGCGCTGCACGCTCGTAACGCGGCCGACGCGGCTTTCGGTCCTTTCCGACGCGGATCGGCCGTCGCCGACGGTGCTCGGTAGTCTTCGCGGGGGCGGTGGGGGCCGTTTTGCTGTCAAAAGGGAGGGAGACGGTGTCAGATGGAAAGAGGGGTGGAGGGAGCAAAGGGTGAGGCACTCGGCCATCATCAGCGGAGGCGCGTAGTTCAGTGACCCTCAGCATCGTCGCTGAAGAAGAGGGGGCGCGAGGAGGTTCTGACATATTGTGAGATGCCAGCCCGCTAACGCCGGTCCCCAAAAAACATCTCTCTCTCTCTCCCTCTAGCTCTTTCCTTCCTTCGGTTCACACACCTTCCGTCTCCGTCTCGCCCACTGGCATTTTTCTCTTTCTCTGTTCCATGAGCGAGGTGCGGGCGTAACACGCAACACTGTCTCTCTTTCTCGTCGGACATGGCTCGTCAAAACCTCTGAAATATTCATACCGCCAGTCGTGAACTTTCCGCGAGTTTTTCCGGCCGTGTGCGCGAGCGAGAGGAGGTCGGCGTTCTCTTGGCAACAGAGAAAGATACAAGTGGGAAAGGAAGAGAGAGAGAGAGAGAGAGAGAGAGAGAAGAGATGCAGTCGCGCCGCGTGTAAGCTCGTTCTCCGGTCATACACACTCCGGGTGTCTCCCGAAATTCTCCATCTACCGAAGAAATCTGATTGCGCTCGCGAGTGCTCCGACGCTGCATATCAACATTTTCATCCCTTACTTTTTCCGTCCGACACTATTCGGTTGATCTCCTATCGCGTTATTGCGTCAATTTGCTCTCCGGGATTTCCTCGTCAACGTCATCATCCGTTTCTTTATTCGAACACAGGGACGTCGGACGGAAGTAGTTAATTTCTCATTTTGTAGACGAGAATCGAAAGTCTCGCCCACTTGTCTCTTTTTCCACTTTGCTCCAACTTGGCGCACTCCGTTCATAAAAATCGCGAAAGTGGTGCGTGGATGGCAGCGCGTACGCGTTTAATGTGAACCGTATGCGGAGTGTAATCGAATTGCTCGACTAGAGGAGAATTGCTCCCCAGGTGAAAAGTATCGGCGAGGACGAGTGCGTGTACACGCGTGAGCTCATACTTTTACTCCGTTGCGCTTGCGCGCGTTGCGAATTGCGCACTACTCGCGTTGCGCGACCGCACATTGGACGAAAGAGCCAGCTTTCATCTCTAAAGGGACAGGAAAATTCGAAGGAAAATCAAATTTCACTTTGCGACGGGAAGTTTATGTCCAATATTATTGACGAACTCTATGCATACTGTGGCACGTGAAACTGTTTCTATTTCTTATAGATCTATGGATATAGATCATAGCTCATCAATATTGAGACATGTATGAAATGTAGGAGTTACTGTGACGAATTTTTAGATATTTTATTTTCGAGCTTTTACCATAAATCAACATTTTTCGAAAGTAATCGATGGTTTTGTTCGAGATTATATTAATTAAAAATATAATCATACATACACACAATTCTAGTTTCTAACATTTTTTTGTTGGTACCGTAGAGTTATATTGTGTAATGGATTTGCAAAGGAATTACGTATAATTTTTGTAGGAAATATTGTGGTATTGTAAACATTCTTGACAGTGACTGCATCTCTTAAATTCGATTAAATAAGGCTTTTTATAACAGAAGAAGTAATCCAGTTGTGGCCAATAATCAATAGACAATAGCACAGCAATGTAGGCAATTTTATATGAATACAATTTTTTGTATAATTTATGTGATTAAGATTGATATATTTCAAGATGTAATTGCGAGACATTGCATTAAATGTTGATAGGAACAATCTGTGTATTTAAACCAGATAAAAAAAGAATCATGTAACGCGCTATACTAAGCACTGCGCAAATACATATTATATTGTCGCGACAAACATACTGTGCGATCTAGAAAAGAAACTGAAGTAAAGTGAGCAGTAAGAAACACATGAGATAAATCGAACAGAAAATTACATCGTTAAAGATTCTTATGCATAAAATTACAATAAAAAGAGAATCCTCTCGCGGCTTTAAATATTTTTATCAGTGTTGAAAAAAAGATGACTGAAGCGAGTTAAAAAAAAAAAAATTAATAAAAGCGAGATAAAAAACGCGAAATAAAATTTGAAAGAGGAATAATATCGAAACTCCCCGCAGATAACATAAATATTATAACGATGAATAAAATCGATCGAACATATATATGCTCCATTTTATTACACGTGGATATTAAATTTGATATACATCGTGTAAATGTCATATCTGTTATTCATAAAGCTATACAGAGATCACGTGTCATCTTTGTGTTTGCCATTGAAATATCGAAAAATCGATCGCATCGGCGCGGCGGTCGTTTCGATTTCGGGAGTTCCGGGTATAAGCGCTTTCCGCCACGCTGTTGTGCCGTTGCACGCTGCGCTCTCCGCATGACGCACGTCGAAGATGCGAGCGTGCCGGGTGACTGTACTCTGGGTTCATCGTTCTCGGCATCGGTTATGTAATGTTCGGCCGAGTACGTATGGTGCAAGCGCCTCAACGCTCTTGCTCGTGGCGCTAGAGTTGCCGGACGGGAGAAGGCGTGATATATCCAAACGGCAGCCGCACGCACCGAATCCACGCTTCCGCGCACGCACACACGTGCGAATCTCATCTTCTTCTCTCTCGACCCGCCCGTTTTTGTGTACCGCTCTTTTATTTTCTGCTTTTCTTTCCTTTGCGCGCACCACCGAAGTTTCTCATCTCGTACAGCCTCTTTCGCTCCTCGGGAATCGCCAATCTAATTCCTCGGGAAGTTTTAAAATAATTGCGTTACGAATGGAAAATTGGTTTTCACATTCCTTGCTTTTAATGCGTGAATATAATCTGCGCTTTTTATTAGAAAATGTGTGGAGAGTGAGAATTTAATTGAGGACTGCGAGAAAAATTTATTAAAATCTCGCAATATTTAATTAAAGATTATATTTTCTTTTCGATTTATCTATCAATTTGTTGATCAAATCCAGAAATAAGTTTAATCTGTGGTTCAAACTTCAATCTATAAATTTGACATGGGCACTAAAGATATAGGTTCGAACCAGTGTCTACTAGAAATCAAATTAAATTGTGATACCACAGTATCTGTCTGGGTATTATTATCTTCGTCATTGTGATAAGCGAACGAAGAATTTGAATCACTTTAGCAGATATAACAAAAGCGATAGATTTTGAAACTCGCAAATTATCTTGCTTATATATATAGAGAAAGAAAGAGGAACATTATTTTTGGCAAAATAAAATTTAATAAAGACAAACTTTTTATCTTATAAATGTATATATATTTTTTAAATTTTATATATACATATTTTATATTTTTTGGATTTTATCAAATTATTTGCCTTCTGAAGAGTGTAACATTTTCACACTTTACAATAAGTAAAAGAATGATTTAGATTAATTTTTAATTTAGCGAAGTAAACATACAATTAATAAAATATTAAATACGAATAAATTCAATTCTCTCGTTATTTCATATTAATTCCAAGTTTTAAAACACTTAATGCAAGGCGTTAATCAAAAAGCAACTTGACAAATTTCAGCAACGACGACACTTTTTAGAACACTATACAAAACGCAAATGTGAATTTTAATTATTCAATTAAAGACTAATCGGAGACGTTCATTGCAATCCGTTGATTGCAATCGCGCGTACGGATCTTGAGGATCAAGCCACTATTGTCCCCACGATAAATCGTAAATGAAATCAACAAGAAAGATCCGTAAATGGAAGGAAGTCTGTCAAGATTTGGCGGGCCTACGTGGGGTGCGGACAGTACGAGTCCTCAACAGACGGAAAGATCGAGAGAGAGATCCGCCCAGCCTCCCACCGGCGCTGGCAGCGCGATTCTCGACGATCGTAGATTACCGGCCAATTCGATACGAGGTAGAATTATTAAAAAAAAATAGGAATTGGAAAAAAAATGCAATCGAAAAAAATGCGTATGAAATATATCTTATTGCGAAGTACATTTTGAATTTTTTGACATTTACACACATCGATTTTAATTCCAGATTTACACAATACAATTTAGATAATATTATCACAGTATTTTCAAGAATTTTTTATTATGTTGTAATTAGATATACCTATGTATATCTTTAAAGAAAGATTTCATAATATATATATATATGGAGTAAAAGAATTTTTTTAATTTTATACTAATTAAAAGAAGCAAATCTTAGATATACTAAGGGCAGAAAAAGGAAAGAGAGAAAGAGAGGGGAAAGATTATATGCAAATGTAATTCATTGGTACGTCATAAAATACACACATGTACATACACACACGAGCTTTGCAGCTCTCTTGGTGCAAAAATACTCAAAATAAACATGAAAGATTGCGGCGGGTTGTAAAACGAAAGTTTTCACAAGCGACGTGTCTTGAGGATCTCATAATTAAGGTTTTCGTTCCTTTTATGATTGCAGCCCAGATCGAGATAATCCCGTGCAAGGTGTGCGGGGACAAGAGCAGCGGTGTGCATTACGGCGTGATCACCTGCGAGGGCTGCAAGGGCTTCTTCAGGCGGTCGCAGTCGTCGGTTGTCAACTATCAATGTCCGCGAAACAAGAATTGTGTGGTCGACCGTGTAAACAGAAACCGGTGCCAGTACTGTCGGTTGCAAAAGTGCCTACGCCTCGGCATGTCAAGAGATGGTGAGTGCTCTCGACTGTTTCTTTCATCACCTTCTTTCGAAAAAAAAAAAAAAAAAAGAACGAATAGTCTTGTCATTCGGCGTGAATTTTGAATGGGAAGATTTAAAGACTTATCGCGTTTCACACAAACTTTCTTATTTTTACATAATTCTTCACATTTAGCATTACGTCAATTCTAATGAATTACGAAGATACTATAAAACGTGTAAAAATTCTTTCTACGTCACAAAATATTGTAATATATTCTAAATACGGCAAGACGGTTTTTCTCCATTTTTAAAAATCAATGAGTACGTAGAAGATCAATAAGATCATATATCTATAACAGAATCTTAGGATAATTTGAAGTTATACCCATGTAAATATATCTCAGATACACAATATCTTATACGATTCTCATATACAATTGGTATATGAAACAACAAATTTACACACGATATACAAGTTCTACGGACTCGTGTGAAACATAGCTCAACGTCACACAAGCTCTTTAAAAAGCTTCTTTGTTCGAAGGGCTATCGCGCGTGGACGCGATATTGCGACATACGCGAACAACACCGATGATATTTACTCGACAGGCAGATAATAACGCAATATAAGCGAATGATGTGACGAGAAAAAATACACAATCCGCAAATTGTACATAGTATTTGACGCAATTCTTTTTGTCTCTCATCTAGAACTTGATCGGATATTTCTATATTTCTTATATTTAAAACACTACCTAGAAACACAATCCAATTAATCGAATTAAAATTAAAGAGAATTAACGAGAAAAAATATTGTGATCCTTTTTTAACGAATTAAGTAGTGAGTGAAGAAGAGAAACTGACCGATTCTTAGGAACGATTTATTGCGTAATGGAGTACGATCCATTCCACGTGAAAAAATCGGAGAAGCGTAAGTGGATGACGAAGACAATTAGATACACGCGGATTGCAACGAGAGGCTATACGCGTGCCAAACCGAGGTGCACGACCCCTTATCAGGGATTCCTCTTTCCTCCCCTCAACGCTGTACCTTATCGGAGCGAGCCACGAACTGTCTTCGGTGCGTTAAACCGCCGCGTTTGTGTATACTCTGTCCGAAGCCTATTCTCGAAGTCGCTTGCGATATTAATAGACAAGGCCGTCAAGACGAATCGAGAGACGGAAGATACCTCGTGGGTGGACGGATAAAGCCTATCGGAACAAAACACAGTTGGAAACACATAGTGGTTGAGGTAGCGGTTCTAAGTCCGAATAACAAAGTCTCACACCGATTTCTAGATTTTTTTTTTTTTTTAGATTTTATTGTCGCTATTAAGGGCAACGCAATATCTCGGTAATTAAATATAATACTTTATTATATCGGAAGATGAGTATTAATATAAATATAGTCTGTTACACAAATAGAACTACATTTGTGAATTTTATACTTTCTTAATTTTTAATTTTATGATTTTGGTAAAAATAGAATTAATATCAGCAACATTTAGCACACATATTTTCCATGAAGTTAACGTTCCATTTATGTGAAATTTTAGTTAAAGATTGTCACTCTTTACAAATTAAATAAGAATATAAAATAGATTGTAGCAAATAAAGTTAAAATTATCGCGTTATAATGAAGAATTTATTTCGTGAAATGAGAGATACATATAACGTTATTATATTTATTGTTAGTTTATTTTTAGTTTCAAAGTGAATATATGTATACCGTTCCCAATTGTACTAAAATATTGTTCCACTTAAATTTCTCTTCTTGACACATAAATTATTTACCATTAGAGTTCTTTTGTGAAAATAGATATTAATTTTATTTTTAAAGATCTGAAAACTAAAATAACACAAATATTAAATTAGATTTAACTTTAATCATTTTTGTGATAATCGCGATCTAATTAACTAACAAAATCATATAGCACGTGGATGTTATTTGTAGCATTGTAATAACATATCTAAACCGTTTACTCGAAATATATCAGATGTATACGTGGACATACATTCGAAAAGACGATGAACCAGGTTCTTATCAACACGCACAAGTATAGCAACACGCCATCGCCATATGATTATCGCAGATACATACAGCATATCAAAAAATGTATATCAAAAAGGGGAATTCAATTTGCGATGTGTAATATCACGACGAAAATGTGAAATTATCTTAACTATGCGTCGGATATATCGTCAAAAAATATATAATAAACTATAATAGCTAATACATAATATATATAATAGGCTTAAAAAAACAAACTTTAAAATTTTAATTAAAAATAAATGTAATTTTTGCTGCTTATATTATATTTAATATGTAGGATGCATCTTTTTTAACACAAAATTAAATGCGTTCGTCAACTTCATTACAATTACATTGTAATTACATTGCAATTTTTTGTATAGAAAGTAAAACTGACATTTTTGATTCAAACTTTTGGCCCGAGAAAATTTTTATTTTTCAGAATCTTGTTGTTCATTATTTTTTATGCGTCGCAAAGCAAAATAGTAGCAACATCGATTGAGCAAATTTGTCCCGTTCTTCGATCTCATGTCGCCAAGCTTCTCTATACCGTTCGATAAATAAACCCGATCTGGCTCGCAGAGGTGCGGCATAAATTTTATATGCGCGAGCTATTTTTGGAGTCTCGTGATTGTTACTTCCGTGAATTTAAATCGAGCATCAAACGATCAAAAAATCTTTGAAACATCGTAGTTTATACAAAAAAATTATTGATTACAAATTAAACAAACAAGGTAAAACAAAACAAAATATGTACACGTTTTATTATAATTAATTTAAATGATGTTTGCTTTCGTATCAACGTCGCGTTACTTATTGTTGATTTTTTCATGACAAATTTTAAATGATTTTGTTATTTATTTCAAAATTTAATGAAGAATCTGAAAATTACTTTAAACAAATTTTGATATAATCAATATGAATTTTTAGGCAGTCAAAATACATTCAGTAGATGATGTTTTAAATATCCGTAAGTAGCTTTGCTGACACAATTTGCATGTTCTAAAAATTTTTAATTGCAGGTTTATTTAAATTGCATTTTTTTCAGTTCTTTCTTTTTTGCATTTCTTATGATTTAATTTCACAATATATTTTAATATTTAATATTTTCATATTTTTTACATATAATACAGTATTTTTCATATACTATTACATTAACTGTCATTATAACTTCTATTGATAAGTCTCGCCATTTTTACATAGGTCAGGCGATATTTAGCCACGATATTCGGGCATGACCGCAATTTCCTGCTTCTCGGTCAATTATCAAGGCCTTTTTATCTACTACGGATAAATAATATTGTTGACAATGAGGTGGGCGATGGTGCGCGATTTGCGTTCGTTAAAAGCTCAGCTCGTTGAAATTATTCTCCACGCAAAGACAAAATGAATAATTAATCGATAAAATTTAACGACTGCGTATAATCAAAACTCACACGCGTTATGTCATATTAATTATAATGACAAAATGTCATGCTTGATTTTTAACGAATTGCCTATAATATAATTCCAAATATTGCTTGCGATAATAACATAATGGTTGAAATAAAATAAAATTTGATTAATTTTCTGCAAAATTGTCTTATTTCTGATAAGAATTAAAATATTTAATATTTATTGAAATCATTTATTGGCATAATTATTGTATATATAATATCACATCATATCTAGCTATATCTAGCACACATTCCAAATATTGATTCTATTAAATATATCATTGAATCATTATTACATAGATGATGATTTGATAATTTTACAAGTTTATATAATAAACTGAAAATTTTAATAACAATCATAATAGACCATACATATTTTAAATAAATATTTGAAAGCAATTATGTCAAATTGCGCATATCTCAAACTAATAATAATTAATTAATTAAATTAATTAAATGATATTGTATATATATTTGGTATATTCTTATTCCCTTTATAAAATTTGCAATTAGATTTATTTCAATTTCCTCAATTTTGATCCTTGTTTATATAACACATAGAGACAGACAGATAGAAAGAAGAAGAAGAGAGAAACGTCTTGTAAAAAGAATTCAGACTTGAAACTTCTCCTTCGATATTGTATAAGAACTCGGATTGAAAGGATTAAACTAGGATTCAGCACTGAAGTCCGTCTCACCCGTACATTTCAGATTCAGTATCGCTTTATTTACCCTCCGGCGCGATAAAGCGCAGCAAACACATACATCGTTCCTACTGGACACGCGCACGTACATACACAGAATACCAGAAAGTGCATCGTAAGCTACCGGTCGGTGTGCATACTCTTCCTGTTGCCATCTCTCTCTCTCTCTCTCTCCTCGTCTCGTTTTCTCGTTCACACTTATCCGCGTTCGGTCGATCACCCTCCGCTCCGTCCCTCTCTTCGTCGTGCCTCCTCATGATAGCTGTTCGGTTAGTCGCTGACGTCGTTATCCCCCTTATCACCCCCGGCCCGTCAGTCGAACCCTCAACCACCCTCGTGATACGCACGCGCGTCATTGAATGCGATACACTGAGAATGCAATTGATATCAGAGTCACAGTAGGCGAAATTATTATTTTTTATTTTTTTTTTTTTTTTTTTCATTATTTTAAAAGTCAAAATAATGTAAGTGGACACTTTTCGATCAAGAAATACGATACTAATAGATTTGCAATTGAGAATGCAATTGATATCAGAGTCACAGTAGGCGAAATTATTATATATTTTTTTTTTTTTTTATTATTTTAAAAGTCAAAAATAATGTAAGTGGACACTTTTCGATCGAGAAATACGATACTAATAGATTTTGACACGAGATACTTAATGCATTCTTATCGCGTCATTGAACGCGATAGACTGAGAATGCAATTGATATCAGAGACATAGTAGGCGAAATAATTGTTTTAAAACTATTTTAAAAGTCAAAAATAATGTAAGTTAACACTTTTTAGTTGAGAAATACAGTACTAACAATTTTGATACGAGATACTTAATACATTCTTATCAAGTCAATTTATTCTGCTTTTCTAGTATTGTTCTCTCTACTAATTTTTCGTATGTCAAAATTTTAATTTTCTTCAAAAATTAATTAAAGAAAAAGACTTTGCTATCTACAAAATCTTGTTCGACTTAATTCATAATAAACCCCCTAATTATCAATTGCTTCTAAAAAAATGATGCTTCAGAATTGTTATAGAGAAAAAATAAATTTCAAGATTAGTAAAAAATATAAAAATGCAAAATACATAAAGTTACGGACAATAGTTATGCTTTCGAAGCAGCACACGCGCATGTTTGCCCGAGCAGTTCGCGTATGTGACGTCATTGGGTGGGTGCGTCGCGACCAGACGATGATAGCGTCGCTGAAGAAGACGAGGAGGATGCGGTGAGGCTCTTCCGCGTTCCTCGCCGAGCCTCTTCTTCGCGACGAGGAAGGGACCAACCGGTCTGTCGACAGACAGTGAGAGAAAGATCGCGTGCGACTTGATCTCGATCGATCCACAAAACAGCCGTTAGATTTTATCGCCTCGCGACAAACGGTCGCATTGATTGTTCTTTTATTTCTTCTCTATCTTCCGATTGTTCATACGTGGCGACAATAAGTTTGTCAAAGTGGAGAAAGAAAGGCATGGGAGGGAAAATAGTGAGAGATAATCGGAGCGTTTGACACTCTTTGATTATGCATATTTTCTATCTTATCTAGGAATTGCGCAGAATTACAATGAAAATTGTACGTCGGCTGTATAATTTAATATAATAAGCGTAAGATAGATCGATAGCTACAAGGTTGTGGTAAAAAATTTATGCGTACTATATCAGGCTGTTTTCACCTACGAATTACATTTTAAAATATTGAACTATGTGCTAATTTTTGCAGAATTCTTGCAATAAAATTTATATTAGAAGTCCATATTTTACTAAATTTAATGTAATTTTTTTGAATGAATGAATGAAGTTTATTCCGGACTCCCTTAAAGGTTGCCAGGAAATTTAATGTAATTTTAATCAGCTAATAAAAGAAGCATAGTTCCATTGATTAATGATTTATTGGCCAAAGAATTTTAATTTTAAATCTTATTTAATATATAAGAACATTAAGTAATAAAACTTTAAGAGCTAACTTTATGAAAAAGTCTTTTTTCAATCTAATCTATAAACTATTTTAATAAATTATTTATTAAGCCGTTACAAATAAGAAATCGTTGTTAATTATTTATTTTAACTTTTTCTTAATAATCCAATATAATATGTCAATGAAAACCTTTATTTGTTTGCAGCCGTTAAATTTGGGCGCATGTCGAAAAAACAACGGGAGAAGGTCGAAGATGAAGTTAGATTCCACAGGGCACAAATGAGGGCGGCCTCGGAGACGGCGCCTGACAGCAGCGTGTTCGAGCATCAGACACCAAGCAGTTCGGATCAACACCATCCCTATAATGGCGGGTAAGCATTATTAAAATGTCATATTAAAATATCCAAAGTAGAATATCCCAAAAATTCGTCGGATTATTTTAATTAAAATTTAATTAAATTTTTACTCACACATATACATCTAATTTATGATATTATAAACGCGTATATAAAATTATATATATTCACATTATTTATAAAATTATTATCTATAAATATTGATATAAAAATCTATAACTTCTAAAGGTAGCTGTCATTGTTGCGACATAAATTTAAATATAAATGCTAACGAACGACATCAAAGGGATGTTGATCTCCCCTTTCTTGTAATTTGCGTCGCGAGGGAAAGAGGACGGATTTACACGTGGACCCGTCATTTGTCCGTGACAGGTACACCTACGGCGGTAGCGAATACACGTCGTCAGGTCCCGGCACCGGCGGTTACACGAATTACAATCACCAGGCGATGACGAATTACGAGCTTAGCGCTGATTACGTCGACAGCACGACGACCTACGATCCCAGGCCGACGCAGACACAGGTCGCGGATACCGTCGCGCCCGACACACCCTCAGCCGTCACAGCGACAGGGGTGCTTCCCAGCGTAGTCACTACCGGTAAGTAATGTTTCATTTACGATTTCCGACATAGTGGATCAATTCAATCGCAAGAGCCTCAAATATCAAATTAAATCACTCATTAGTTTTGACACGTTTAAATGAAACAATAAAATATTGCGCTGTAATATTTTGTTGTACACACACATAGGGACGTGTAATAAAATATAATTTAGAAACCAAAAATTTCTTTATATAAAATAACAATGAATTCTATTCTCGTCGTCGAGATTGAAAATTTGTGGATCGTTTGAAAAATGAATCGAATTTCCCAGAATTTTTATAATTTTTTTTTTTTAGTTATAAACGGCAACGAATATAAAAAATGATGTGATTGTTTTAATATTAATAAGTTGTTGAAGTAGTAAACACTGCAGATTAAAAGATTTTTTTTTAATTAAATTTTAGATAATGAAGAATAATAAAGATAGCTTGTTCTTTAGCCGATTTCAAACTAAACTTTGCTTTAAGAGAATCTTAAATGGGCGCTTAGTTACAAAGATATTTAATGAGAAAAGTTTCCAAGTTATAAAAAAACAAATTGTCCAATCAAATTTCCATAAAGAAAAATTTATTCCAAGTTGTACAAAGATTTCTTAAAGAAATGAGTAACGATAGTTCTGGAACGTTGCATAATCCAATTTTTTCTGCAAATAAATATAGTAACACTTTATAATGAAAATATAATGTATATTACATGTATTTATAAATTTCTAATACAAGAAATTTCATAAAAAAATTATATAATTAAAATTTAAAGAATATGTCTTCCATTTTACTTTAGTATAAAAATAAAAATACAAAAATATATAAAATTGCTATTTTACTTAAGACGATAGAAATTGCAATAAGATAGTAGAACTGAAAAAATAGTAAAACAGTTGTTCAAGTTTTTAATACATTTCTCTTTTATGTAAATATTTTACATTATTGGAGATTTATTCCGATACGTTATTAAAAAATTAATTTGTACGTATTAGTATTATGTAAAAGATTTTATAATAAATATATGTTTTAATAAGTATATGCATTAAATTGGATCTTGTAATGTAGTCGGAACTGTTAAGTTCTCGCTTCGTAACTGACACGCTAAATGCATTCCGGAGCACTGTCATTAACTCGCAGTTAATTGCGTTCACGCCTTTAATGTGACCAAAGCTCCTATCATGCTATCAATCCTTATCATCGATAATTATTTCTCAGGAAAAATCGCAAATAAATTCTTCGTGTTCTATTATGCGATAAAAAAAAAAATAATTTTTGTGCAGTATCGACATAAATAATTTCTTTGATACTTTCATATTGTACTCCTTATTTAAAATTTTATTTTATAATTAACTACGAGAAATATAATAATTAACAATAATTTAGAAACCACACCATATTTACTAACTTTATTACTAACTTTTATGTTATAAATATTTTTATATGAATATACGGAGTTAGTATTATCACAAAATTTTTAAGAAAATCTACGCGATAATATATTTCTTATTTATTCGTATTTATACTATATGCAATATTAATTATATATTTTATCTTACAACTATTATTATAAATACAACTGAATTATATTAGCGAGCTTTCTAATTTTTTTATCAATTTCAATTCATGAAAAAATTTAGATGTAGCTTTAGTTAACGTCATTGATTAAATTATTTGTGTAAATAATTTTATTACATAATTATATTAAACAACTTATTTTTTATATTTTATTATTAATTAAAGATATTAATCTGGCTTTTTTATTAAATATATTTTTATTATATATATTCATTGTTTTTATTATATACATTTATTATATATATTTATTGCATGTACTATAAATAATGCAATACTTGTATACTGGGAATCTAGTTTCCAACCACACAATTGATTGTATTCTCTTTTGAGTAAACTTAGATTTAATCAACAAAGCTTGTGTTAGTTGAGATAAATTTGAATTCAATTCAATAGACGAAACTTTGTACAACGACATGGATCTAAGCGATTTACCATGCAATTGGCTGATACAATGACAATTTACCATTGTCGAATATTTTTTATCTGATTGAAAAATTAAAATATAAAGATCACATTATATTATAATTTTAAACAAATGAAAACTTTTATTTTTGAATTTGACAAAAATGTTTTAAATTATCAAATTTCGTAAAAGTTTAGAGAAACTATAAATTTCCAAAGCTAAAAAAACTTATAACAATTTAAAAAAATGATATTACTAAAAAATTTATTTATATAATATTTGTTGTAGAATATTTGTAAAATTTGTTTATAATATTTGTTATTTTATGATGTATTAATTTTATGCAATTGAATAGTATACAAAATGTTTAAACTATAAATAATAAAGATGTAGAAAGGAAACGCATTTCATATTTATAATCACTATTGTGATCGTTTCGTCGTCAATCTGACTGAATCTTTATTTTATTTATTTATTTTTTTGTAATTTTTATTTGTGTTACAAACATTATTTTACTACCTAAATCGCTAAAGTTTATGTTATACGATACAATTCTGCATCAATAATACAGTATCAAGTAATGTATACATCTTTATATATTTTTTTGTGACATAGACTAAAATCCATTATTAAATACTGGATGCAAAATTTTCTCGACTTGAATATTACGTAATATAATAGAAATTATACTCTGACAGAGTTGTATTGCTGAATAGAACACATTCCGATCTATTGAAGGTAAACATTATCATATATTTAAATGCAATTGATAATAACGTTTTATTCAGATTTGTCAATGACATACTATAAATATACTATATAGCTTTTCATTTATTAAAAGATACATTCCAAGCTTCAATCGAAACTTTATGTGAAGCTTTACAGATGCTGCGGCAATAATTTAAATTCACAATCAGTTCAATTATACAATAGATATGATGCTTGCACCGAAGCTCCCCAGAAAATTATTAATTATTACTATAACAGAATTTTAGTTTACCTTTAATTTTACATTTTAGTTATATATATTATTTATACATGAGCAGTTATTACTAAAACAAAACTTTAAAGCCACTCTAAAGCAAACTCTATTTAATATTGACAATTTCGGAGTCTAATAATTAATATTTTTAAACAAATTTTTAATCAAACATATACATCATTTCTAAACAAAACTTTTCTTAAAAATAAGTTTGTCACGCATTCCCTTAGAAATACTCCTTTTTTAACGTTTCGTATAGACAGAGCCTATCTTAGAATTCTGGGAATTTGGGAAACTGGGAAAAAAGATGCTTATGGGTCTATCTACGCTCTATATATTTTGTATTACACGAGCAGGCAAAGTGGCACTTTGTGTGCGTGTTTTCTGTGCGGAAAGCGGCCGATTTCCCACGCCGGCATCTAGCGGCGACGCGGTGAGTGAATAAGCCGCGTTCAAAGCCATTGCCTACGGTTAAACCGCGTTCAAAGTCATTGCCCACGGTTGAAGCCGTGGACAATGACTTTGAACACGGCTATTCCCGCATTATACCGCCGCAAGATGGCGGCGTGCGATCGGCCACCTCGCGCACAGAAAACGCGCACAAAGCCACTTTGCCTGCACTTGTAATACAAAATAGTATGTGTATCAAGTGCGGAAAGTTGACAATTGGTCACGAGTGCGACCACCCCACACGAGTGAACAATTGTCAACTTTCCACACTTGATACACATATACTATTAATAAAAAAGACAAAAAGGAAGATACATTATATTTCCCTAAACTATAATATATACTTTAACGAAAAAGAAGTAAAAAACACACGCGTAAGATCCTTAATAGCACAACATATCCAAAAGATATTCAGAGGATATTCAAAGAACATTCAAACATCCTCGACATGTTCTCTGAACGTCTTCGGGATATGCGTGCTGTTAGGAATAGGTCCTGCATAGGACTCATTCGCAGGGCTGAAATATTTAGACCCATTCAGCCCAAATCCCTCTTGAGACCAATACAAGCCCTCGTGAACTTTGACTTTTCGGCGCATCAGGGAAGTCTCTGTCCGCCTCGACGACCGGGAACGGCGCGGGAGGCGGCGGTACCGGCAGTGGCGGCGGCGGAGGCGGCGGAGGCGGCGGCGGTAATGGTGGTGGTGGTAACGGTGGTGGCGGTACTGGTAGCGGTAGTAATAGTGGTAACGGTGGTTCCGCCGCGGCCACCGGCGGGGCTGCCGGGGGTGGAGGAGGCGGGGGCGGCGGCGGCGGCGGCGGCAGCGGCTCCCTAAGCGGCGGCGGAATCGTCGCCGTGAAGCAGGAGACCACCGTCGAGCTCGCCGGCCTGGGCCACGGCTCGTACACGATGGTCGACTCGACGACCTTCCTGAGCAACCAGCAGCAAAGGGTCAGCAACCCGTCTGAGGACGACGAAGTGCCGAGTCTGCCCAGTATGTCCTATGCGATGAGATGTGAGGTTACGTTTGTGTCCCTTTGCATGGGCATGCGGTCATCCCCCTCGTTAGCCACTTGCTTGCCGATTCCTTGCAGAAAAGTTCTCGAGGACTGACCACATTGGGAGAAGATGATTATGACGCGATTATATTTTACTCGTTTTTTTTTATTCAAGAATTTTTTGCATTTTAATATATCTTGAATTATTTTCTTTTTTTAATTAAATGATATAAATATATATATATATATATATATTATAACCACTTTGTATAGTATAAACATATATATTTACTATATAGTATAAGATGTATGAGAAATTGCCAGAATAAGTTCTTTCAACTGTTAAAGTCATATTAATTTAGATGACATAATAAGATAATATCTATCTCTTTTTGATAAAATTCATAAAAATTTTAAATTATAGATTTAAATATTTCTCTCTGCATTTCTTTCTTTCTCTACACACACACACACACACACAAGCACACACAAATATAAAGATCATGTATTAGCGATATATTTATATTGAGCATAGAGCATATATATTCTAATATTTTAAAATTCATTCAATAAATTTTAGGGATAATGATAAAATAAATTAATTACATTATAATAGAATCTTGAGGAAGGGTGATTTGCTAACGAAATTCATTAATCAACATACAAACTAGTCTAGCCTCATGCAAAATTCATAAAGAGTTGTTGAAAAATGGAAATTGCTTGCTCTTTTATGTTACAAGTTGCGGCTATCCATGTCTACCTGCCGACATGACAAAATTATTATAAAGGTTTCTGTACATTGTGTGTTTAAATTACATTTATATATGTTAAAAATGTTAGTCCTCTGAGGCTTTATCTCGAAATTGGAATTTTCACATTATACAATATGTTATTAAACGTATTTCTATATATTAATTTAAAATATTTTATGTTTATCCACGCTTTAAATGTTTTATGTGTGTTTTCTTTTACAGTTACTCCTGCATAAATTGTAAAAAATAGCATTTATAAAATTTGTTTGCTCGTTGAGCATGTTGTATATATATTTCTATATATGTTGCATAATATCTATTCTTGTTTATATGAATAATAATTTAATTTACTAATTTAATAATTTTGAAATCCTTTTTAAAATATTCTGTGCATCTCTCTTTATCTCTATTTTGCATATCATGATTGCACAAAATGTAAGTTTTATTTCAATTTCTTTGTACATTTATCTAGAGCTACATTTCATATTTAAAAATGTTTCTTTTGATTTTATTATATATATGTAAGAAATGTAAGTAAAATGTACAAATGTAAATGTAAAAATACTATATTTTTTCTGAAAACACGAAGAATATATATTTCCCAGAATTAATTTACTCTTATATTTGTTTTTATAGTATTTTATATCTTGTTGTAAAGATTACATTTTTTCTTAACTTTAATCAAGTAGTCAAAACATTTAACAATTATAACTATGATATATAAATGCATGAAATATACAAATACGCTTTCTGCATGAGCCATAATGAAAGAAACATCTTTTCAAACATCATTATCCTTTACAGCATGACGGATTATCTAAATCTTTCTGATCAAACTATTTGTGTACTATTATATTTGTAATTAGACTAAGTTTGTAATAAAAAAAAAATACTTCGTGCAATATACATATGTATAAGAAAATAATTTATCAATTAATACAATGATTACACATGAAAATAATTTGTGCAACAAGGAATATATGAACCGTACGCTTACGCTGCACGCTTAAGATCTCCATTTGTGATTTTTTGTTTGCCGAATCAATTCTTCCAGCGTTTTTTTTTTTTTCCCCAAAGCTATCTATTGAGAAAGGAACGAATTACGAGCGAGAAATACGTTGAATTTCCGCAGATCCGGCACAGATCAGCGAGCTTCTCTCGAAAACGATAGCAGACGCGCACGCAAGGACATGCCTGGTGTCTACGGAACAGATCCAGGAGTCCTTCCGGAAGCCCACCGGAGACCTCCCCAGAATAATGTACTATAAAAATATGGCGCACGAGCAGCTCTGGTTGGAGTGTGCTCAAAAATTGACCACCGTTATCCAGCAGATCATCGAGTTCGCCAAAATGGTCCCTGGATTCATGAAGCTCTCGCAAGATGACCAGATTGTTTTACTAAAAGCCGGTACGTAACTGCATAAATACGCCTTTTTCACTAATTTGCGATAAAGTTTCGTTCTTTCGTTCACGGATTCTTGCGCACGATTTAACGCGCAAATTTCGTTATCAGACGAAAGTTTTAATCTGAAGATTCTATTCTATTTTTAATTCTTAAATGGGATGGGTAAGTAATTGCATTACCTCACTATTTACTTAATGCAATTGTGCAAACAGTTTAAATAGCTTCTAATATAAATCAATATTTGTTATACATATATATTATATATAGTGAGAGACTAAATTTAATATCAGAAGAGTTTGTTGAAAATTTTCCAACTTTTTTAAACGTTAACGAAATAATAGGCAATATTCCGTAACTGTTGTGATAGATGCTGGGTATTACAGATATAATCGTTTTTAATTTCATTAGCATAATGAAGAATAATGAAGATAATGTCCGTCAATTTTTCAACGGAGTTAGATAAGTGAAAATAAAAAAGCGCTGAGAGATACGCTGATATATTCTATTAAAATATAACAGGTTCCTTCGAGTTGGCTGTGCTACGAATGAGCAGGTACCTCGATATCCAGCAAAACCGCGTCCTATACGGCGATACCTTGCTGCCGCAGGAGGCATTTTATACGCAGGATACGGCGGAAATGAAGCTTGTTTCCTGCGTATTCGAGCTGGCCAGAAGTATCGCCGAACTGAAGCTCACCGAAACCGAGTTGGCACTCTATAGCGCGGCTGTTCTACTTAGCCCTGGTAAATGACACACGCGATATACAGGGTGTCTTAACTTCCCTGGATTCATTTATTTTTTAATTAAAAATTCCAATGCTCGCATTTATGTTTGCTATATCAAACTTATATATATATATATATACATTTTCTAAATCGAAATAATGTGTAATAACGTAATAATTTGATATTTCTATCTTGTTCGCTATCACATCGAACAATCGATTGACTTACGATACGTTGCGCAGATCGACCGGGACTAAAGTGCCTGGGGGACATCAATAGGCTGTCACAGGCGGTGATCAGAGCGTTGAGGTCAGAACTTGATCGGAATCACATGACGCCGATCAAGGGCGATGTGACCGTGTGCGACGCGATCCTCGCCAAGATACCGCAGCTACGGGAGATCTCGCTACTGCACATGGACGCGCTGGCTAAATTCAAGCGGTCGCAGCCGCACCTCGAGTTTCCGGCCCTCCACAAGGAGCTCTTCAGCGTCGACAGCTGAACGAGCGACGCGGCGCGGAGTGTCATCCCGGCGCTGCCGAGCGGACAGGAGCGCGAGTAGCGTCGCGGATCTTGCTCGGTCAAGGTGAGTCCGACCATCCTGGAAGAGAAATTACCGACGATCTCGTGGCCCGGGGGAACCGGAAGTGACGACGCTTCCTAGGAAGAATCCGCGAGCCGGCTTGGATGAGAACGATCTCGATAATAAAGGGCGTGGTGGCACGAATATGTCGTTGACAGATCGATCGATCGATCGTCTCGTCATTTAAGCGATCTAATGGGGGTTATTGCCTCGTGTCGAGAATAACAACGCGAATTATGGCAGTCGCTTACGTTACGTTAGCTTGTTCGACTCTCCGAGTCCGAGGATTCGGAGATCTGTGCTTTTAAGACACAAGTACTTTTAAGACAATTTATTGAGAGCGGGTACTCGGAAAGGCGAGAAACAATGTCGGCTAATGCTTATCTGTATTTTAGAATTTAGGAATGGGTTCGTATAGTCACGTTTCACATTTAATGCTAAATGTGGTTTTAAAGTCCACGATTACAAATAAATGCAATCATTCTCGCATTAAGTAAATTCTAACATTAGATAAATAAAACTTGGATGATTATATATTTAGCATCAAGTTTATTAAATATAAATTTAAATTGTAGTTTCTCTTTCTAGAACGGTTATCCAAAATTATCATTCAAAATAAGGTCACTATATATATATATATATATATATATATATATATATATTTATTTAAATTAAATAATATAAATTAAATAAATTTAAAATTGAAATTCGATAATTTTTTTTTTTACGTTTTCGAAAATAATGCACAAGAGTGATAAATTTAAAGATTATAAATTCAAAGATGATAAATTTAACACAAAGCCTAAAGGTCACAAAATAAAGATTTGAACAATTTAGAAATTAATAATTCGAAATTTTAAAAATATGAAATGAATGCTGATAGCTATAATTAATTTGATAATACAAATTCGAAGAAGAATAATAAATAGATGAAATTAGAAACAGCATGTTTAAAATCAAGATAAGAATTAAAATATCACTTCCTATGTTGAAACTTTATTCAAAGAAAATACTTTATATAATTCATTAATTATTCATTAATATTATTTTATATGATATCAATATTAAATCAAGATTATTTTATGCCATTTTATTATATGTTTGTAGGAAAGTGAAAAAAAGAAAAATATCTGGACATTGTTTTTTACAACTGATAATATTCAATTCATATTTTTCATTTATTTCATTGTATTGACACATAAATATAAAAACATTATCATGGATTTAACTCACATTAACATGTGAGTATACATTACCGGCAAGAAAAGAGTTAATATATTCTTCAAGTCATTAATATACTTTTTATTGCAAATATAAATAATTGCTTGACATCGCATTTTACAAACTCGCTTATCCGAGTACCAATGCAATGAATATTCAAGGGTCTTACATATATTGCTCTACATTGTGTATATATATATCTTTTTATTGTTTAAATTGCAAGACAAGAAAAATTAATCTTTTAGAAAATAGGGAAAAGAGTGGGTGAATTTTTTATTGTGCGTGTAAAAATTTTCTATTTTAATTTGTGCGATGAATACAATATAATAAACAACAAAAAAAGGATGCACATTTTAACCCTTTAATCGGTAAGTTAGATTTGTTTAAGATTTTAGATATAAAGTCAAGATTTTTTTATCTAATTTATTTTACTTTACAAAGATAAAATATTATAACATAATATATTTGAGAGTTGAATAATATATTTAAAATTTATAATAATTATTTTATACAAATAATTTTAACTTAATTTTTTATTATAATTTATTCGAATTAAGCATTATTTACCATTTACTACATAATATTTTTAAAATTGAAACAAGATGAACTGGATATTACCGTTGAAAGGGTTAAAATTAAAATTATCGAATTACAAAAGAATAATTTGTAAATATGCTTATGTATGGTTACCAACAATCTGATCCGAAAAGTAGATCGATTCTATTTCTCCTTCGGAAACGTCCTCAAGTTGTTGATCTTTTAAAAATACGAATTCTTAGCCGACATATTTTCACAGCTTATTATAGTAATTATAATAACAAATTCTCTTTAAAGAAAATCTTTTTATAAATATTAAATCTTAATCTATTATTTCATGGACGTCTTGAATGGGAAATTAAAATGTAACAATGGCGAATGAATATGATTGAAGTTTGAATTGGATTTTAATGAAGAAAAAAAATTAATATTGTGTAACATCAGTTTTATTAATTTCACATCAATCTACTCTAACAATATTTCTTATAACAAAAAAATTACTCATCATTTACAATATTTTCTTTAAAACGCAAATTTTTATTTCGAATCTAATTCATCTGCCGCAATCTCATTCATCCGTAATTATCGTTTTAATGATTAGCCTACCGGATAGTGTATGTGGTTTATAGAGCGTACTAACTTATTTTTTTTGTTGTTAAACTTTACTCGAATTTTATTACTAAATGCTATGTTAAACCTTATATGCGTCTATATATATTTTAAGATGTTTCTCCGCGCGTTCGAAGTCACAAAGTTACGATTAACGTATTACGATTAACGTATTCGAATCTAAAGATTACAGTAGATAATGTAAGGATACATAATTATAAATATATAAATTTGTTTTAATATGAGTTAATATATGTCGATAAGTTTGTTAATATCGATATGAGGAAATTTTATACTGCCAGTAACTGAATTTAAAGCTACTACAGAGTGTCTCAAAAAGATTTAAATAATATTTTTTAATCTTTTATATGTGAGTTTTCATTGATGAAAACTTATTTGTAAAAGATAATTATAGAATAAATTACAAATTGGTTTCTTTATTTGAATTAACCCTTGTATAAAACTTGTACATATATAATATTTATTCGGAATATTTTAATATAACAAATATATTTAATTAAAAGCAATTCTTATTCAAGATTTTTTTCAACAAATTATTTCATAAAACACCTTACTATGACATCTTTTGGGATGTTCTGTATTTTTCGCTCGCATAATTTATGTTCGATATTTAATTCGTTGTGTCAATTATACACGAAAATAATATTATTGTGCAAAATATGCATATTGTTTAAGATCAAAACTTTTGGCTTTAAGTCAAACTAAATGTCCGGTAGGCTTTCAAATATTTATCACGACGGGCTGTCTTATTGTTAGATGAAACATTAAATGCCTCTCTCGAGGGGCAACCAATTGGTTGCCTATCATCCTTGGTCGGATGATTCTTCCTAGGAAACGTCAAGATAAACACGTTAAAGGTAAATCTAGAAAAGTAGGAAAAATAATACAGTAAAATTACGCGAAAAAAGAACACATCGAACTGAATAGAATGCTGGTACATGGTCTCGCCAAAATTATTGACAGAGTTTTATATAGTAGCAAAATTTTGCAATTTAATTTTTTCAAATTTTATCTGCGTATTGAACGAAATGAAAAGAATTATAAAATATAATATTATAATGAATAATTTTTTTGAAGAAATTTAGAAAGGTGGATATATAGTCTTTGAAACAGATTTTACATGAAAGTTAAAAAAAATATTATAGTTCTTCTAAAAATATTATAGTTTTTCGATGAAAGAATACAAGTCTTACAGAATTTGATTTTTACGCGATTACTCTTATACAGACATTTTAGAATAAAATTTAAAAATATAATAGAGCTTAACTTTTGACATTAAGTATAGTACTTTTTTCTTTAATGAAAAAAAAAAAATAGAAAAATACGTTTGCACCAATTTTTTAAAATTCGATTTTATTTCTTTTCTATTATAATCAAATGACATTTTTATCGCGCATTTCTAGAATCTTAGCATATGCCGTAACACGATATCCGATGTCTAAAAAATTTGAGTATATACTGTAGTTATATATACTTTATATATCGCATATTTGATTATTCTTCGTTGTGTCTCTCTAAATCTTTCTTTGAAGAAAGAAATGTCATGATAATGTGAAAATTGGCGAGTTGATTTAAGTTACTACTTGTTCAATCACGCGTAGATCATCTACTGGTGTCTGGCGTATCGCGAACATCTCATGCGCATCTCATTCTTCACGGCGACGACGACGATGACAACGTCAGGAACATATTATATACAACTTGTCGACTGAATAGTTCTATACTCATACGGTGCTTACGACAGGGAGCAAACCAGGTACAAGCGTTGTTTAATCATATATTCGTCTCCTTTCTGTTGCAGATAATTTCCTTCGTAATGAACGTATTGGGCCTTAAATAAACATAAAAACATTGTTATATATAAAGTATACATAAAAAAGCAACATAAAGTATATACAGAAGAAATATATATATAAATATAAATATATAAATATATACATAGTGTGGATGCGTATGTGTATACGCGCGCGCGATACGTCTCACCGACGCAAAGGTGTATACACATACGCACGTGTCGTTATAAGATTATATTATATAGACAAAGAAAAAAATCGCGAATGCGTGCGAAACGAACGAGCGAGCGAAAGCGAGAGAATGTGCGTGTGTAAGCGAGAAGTGAACGAGCGAATATATAATTGCGTGAGGATGAAAAAGAGCGAGAGAACTGAGATATCGGTTGTTACGATGCATACATAAAGTATATATTGTATTAATTAAAGAAAAAGAAAAAATAGCGGAGAGAATGGAAACGGTGATTAACCAATAAGGTCCTGCTTGGGGCGGTCCTAGGACGAGATGTATAGGGTATAAATAATCTAGAATACTAATAATTATCGAGAACTGACATTTCTTTTGATTTGACGGGAAGAAAATCTCGATCGGGCCGCTCGTGCGACATAGAGACCGATATTATCACACCGTCGAACAGAGAATACGAGAGCGAGCAAACCCAGCGAATAGCGTCGGCGAAAGGTAGAGCTTATATTGCTGAGGGCGAGGAACCGTGGAACCGCGTCAAAGTTGGGCGTAATTAAGCGTGATAATGGCGATAATGAGGATGTTTTTATCACGTTTTAGAATTTTTGCTCGATCATCTCTCACGTTCCCACTTTATCTCGCCTTCGTTGTTGATTGCTATATTTGTTGTATCCTTATATCGTCACTCATAGGCAGAGAGTATAAAATTTTAGTACAAAAGAAATTTACGCGCGATTATATTAATTATAAAATATAGATATGTGATAATAATGTGTGTAAAGAGGAAATTTCTTATAATAAATGAAGCGTTAACAATTAAGAAATGTGATGAAAACTATCAAAATTACAAAAGGAAGATATTTAGAAACGGATAAGAAGAGAAGAGCAAGGAATTTCAAGCAAGTTGTAGAAGCCGGAAGAATGAGAACATGAAATGACAAGTATTTTATAGGAACCGATGAAGACATGATCATTAATCGTCATTATTGTAGTCAGCTTGTACGAGCTGTGAGATGATGAAAAGCTTCTTCTTTCTGCTCGTATAGCCGGTAAAAGGACGCGTCACTTCGCCAAATATTCAAATAAGTTTTACCAAGTGAAGACACGACTAAAGAAGCAGATGCAGAGCACCGTCTTCTATTTAAAGATATACGACAGAGCTAGATCTAGAGGTACCCTTTTAATCACGATTATCTTAACACGTATATATATATATATATATATATATATATATATATATCATCGATTCGATACTTGAAATTTCTTTGACTTATATTGTTAGCAAGAATATTCGAATAAACGCGTCCTTACAATTAGCTTAAATGCAAAAAGAATATCGGCAGCGGTCACACGTTTTCCGCCGTCGTCGCGACTTCGAGTAGTGATTCGAGTATAGTTCTGAGCTACTTTATATATAGCATAAATACATATATATAAATAAAAATATATATATATTATAAATTAATAAATATATAAATATATATAAATAAATAAAATAAATATATATATAATTATATATAAAACATTATACATAATGGGGAGTATATTTCGAGGAGCGGAACGATCGAGATTCGACGATTAACGAGAGAACGATGGTATATAGAATTAGAAACAGATTTGTTTCGTCCCTGGACCAACTCGGCCGGATCACACGGATAACGATACGACACACGACACGTTCACGAGGATCTGTACACATATACATACATACGCAGAGACAGACAAAAAGAGAAAGAGAGGGAGTGAAAGGGAGAAAGAGAGAGAATGAAAGTGAGAGCGAGAGACAACAAAAATATTAGGTATATGAATTATGACGCGCGGATGCGACTTTCACGGATGCAGGCGTAGATAGAGCTAATCGACCGCATTATGCGCGCGCATTAAAAAAAAATACGTTTTTTGGTACTGTACGGCACTTGTATGACGCGTCTCTTTATACGTAAATCCGTATACTTCTTATGGATAAATAAAAAAAAAAAGAATACATACAATAGCCCGTCGTCGCGCGCTGAGACACCCTCACGAAGCGTTTATATACGCACCGTCACCGGCTTTCCTCGCTATCGTCGATCATTGATCGAGGATCAGGATGGAGATTGAGAAGGATTTTTAATAACGGCTCGCTGTTATTCATCAACACTTTCGCGACCGCCCGCGTATTTTTAGATGAAAATTACGCCGTTGGGCGCCGGGCCGATTAAAATGCATTCGTACGCCTTCGCGTCGTTGCTAAGTATAAAATTATGTTGCTAAGAGGCAGGCTGGAATAAAAAAAAGTATTCGTACGCCATCACCTTTTTGCTATAAATAACACTACGTTGTTAAGGAGCAAGCTGAAATAAGAATATTTGTAAGTCACACCTTGTACTTTTATCATAAATATTTTTAACTTGTTTTATATATATATATATATATATATATATATATATATATATATATATATATGAGAGACGAGATATTTAAACTCTTTAAGAATCTTAAAGCTATATATAGCTTGTAATATATCGACTTAAAGAATAATTATATACATATATATATACATATATGCATCTATATGCATATATAATTACGACACACATTTTATTTAAGAGTTACTTATAGCGATGACGTGCGAATACTATGTGTCTCATTCTATAGTGAATTTGTTTAAGGCAAATTATGAATATCGCAGCTAATTATGTAAACCCTAAACGGTATAAGCGGGGTATGACAGATCGTTTATAATTATAGAAACTTCATAGCGCTATTATTATTTGTTTGTATTTATAAAGTTTAATATAAATGAATAAAATCTAATTTCCACACGTATAGATTACGGACATCTTTTATTTTTATGTTGTGAGTGTATATAAGTATTTAATTATTATAAAATCTGCGCAGCATGTTGTGTGTGTTCATCTCTCGTTCGGCCTTTTTATATAATATAACGTAAGTAAAATAATTTATACTGTTTAGGGTAACGCAGTCTTCAACAGTTATCACGTATTTAACCCATTACAGTTTTTTTTCTTTCAAAAGCTTATGTGATGATGAAGAAATGATGTCAGAAAAAGATTATCAGAGATTTGTGCTAAAAATTCTGAATATTTTTTATGACATTTAACTTTCTAACATCTCATAACGGTATTGAAATAGTTATACTCCACTTATATTTGTATTTAGTGTAACACACAATTCTATATAAAATATAAATATAATATAATAATTGCGACCTTTAATGGGTTGAAAATGTACCGATATTAATACTGCAGTTAAATATCAGCGGTTGCGAAAGTGTTAAGAATGTATTGTTATTAGCTCTTTATAGTTCGATTTATTATGTATTTATATATTTATATTATTTTCTCGAATGGCAGGATTATTAAAACTACGCGTTAAAACAGATACTCACACTCAGAGTGAATGATAATTTGCAATTCTTAAATATGCAATGACTTCATAATTTTTATTAGATAAATCATTGTTATTGACGAATGTTAACAAATATTAAATTTTACAGCAATTTAATATGACAACAAAAATATTAGATTTGCTCATGGTACAATATGTTAATTCAATAGAATGTTAATATTTATTATTCATATCTGTTAAAATTGAGGAAAAAAATTGGAGGATATTAATCTTCAAAAGAAGATCTCAAATTTTATATTGTGTTTGATGCATAAATTTCCATTTTTTAGATTATAATTGATTTTTTTCCTTTTTTCGAGTTTATTGAAAAAATTTGAGCTTTTCAAAATTATCAGGCCTGAATCTTCTGAGTACACGTTAATCTTTATTGTCCCATTATTCGGCCATTTTTCAGATAGTTAAAAGAATTTTTAAGTTTTCAAATTTTACGATCATTATTAGGGTAACAAAGAACGAAAAATAGATTACTTCGATTCTAATTAAAACATGATGCTAATTACATTAGAGATTTGAAATTATTTTTAACTTTTATGAACATAAATATTTGTTGTTGCTGTCTTTAAAATATCATTTTAAGATGATTTTAAAATAAGATGAAATTATGCAAATACGCCATTGCGCAAAACATTACGATAAGGTCGTAATTAGACAAATGAATTAGACAAATGAAAAGGACTCTCGGATGCATATGCAGAGTCAATTTTTTCTACAGGTTTCTACTTAGTCAAAAATTGCATACTAGCATATTTTACGTCTATTTGATTTCAATTACTATGTACTAAATTATATAAATAATATTAATATACATATATTTTTGCAAAGCGATAATTCCATATTACTTGTTCATTAGAGATAAAAGCGATTGAACATCACATAAAAATGGCAGCTTTAGTTATTTAAATATTAATGAATTAGACGTATTTTTATATCATTATTTATTTATTTGCATAATATTTTTTTCTACAAATGCAAAGATAAAAACTAATTTTCCCTAATTGTGTAAACTTACCTCTAAGTTAATCCTGCTTGGGACTATTGATGAAATTAATTGATAAAAAAGATAAATTTTTTTCTTTTTCATGTGTATAATAAAGCATGCAAGAAAAAGACTTGATATACATCCGAGAGGCTCAATGTGATTGAAAAAGGATCGATGAGAGCGACGGCGAATCCGTCACGGTGCGCCGACTGACACGCTTTCGGAAGGTTGCATATATTTATAGCGAAAAATTAAGAGAATGCATATTATTCTGCCGATTAACGAATAAGTGCGTAGGATTCGTTTAATTGTAGATCGAACACGTACACAGTCACGTTACGCGCGAGTGCAAAATGCATACCATCTACGATACCCTTCTTCGCTCACATCTTTATCCCCTTATTCAAGAGCAACACATGTACACACACACACAAAAACTGATACACACACACACACGTACACAGTATACGTGTACGCATATACGAGTACACATAGCTACACATACACAATACACGCGTATAATAAGGCGCAACACGTACACGTGCACGCACGTTGCAATTAGACGTTATTATCGCAATTTGGAGTTAAATTTTATAATATATAATATATAAAAAATATATATAATAAATAAAAGTTGACGGATAATATAGAGTTATATTAAATATCTAAACGAAGATACTCGTGTGTTTCTCATATATGAATATATTATCCCTTTCGTTGCGCAATCACATAGACGAAATTTCCCTTTTTTTCTCTCTCGTATCCCTAAAATAGCTTAAGTAGATAGAACGCGTATTTGCATACACCAACAATGTTTTCATATTGTATGTCCTTCAATTTTTATCATTATATAGTTAAACTAACTTTTTTTTACTTATGTATATCTTAATAAATATATTATTTAACGTCTTAACAAAAAACGTAGTTAACGTATTAAATTCATATATTCAATCTAATAAATATTTTATATTTGGCTCGTGAAATTTATTTATTTAACTCTTATTGAATAAGAGTTATTTATAATGAGACGTGAAATAACATCAACTCAATTATGTATTGTCTTTGTATAAAAATGAAAAAATATTTCAGAATTATTTTTATATTATTTCGTTAAATAGTTAAGGAAAAGTAATAAATTTAAAATTTATTTATTATATTTATTTTAATACATTATTATAATTATAATAGTATTTCAATCTTTTTGTATATTGCTGCGAGTATATACATATGTCAAAAGAAGTCATTTTAAAAGTTATCATTATTTTTAAGATGGGTATAGTTTAAAGTTTTGCAAGCTTTTTAATTGTAATTAATATTAATATATGCAGTGAATAATAACAGTTCTATTCTGATAAAAAATTTTAATTAACAATTTATAATTTTTAATTAACAATTTCTTAATGTAACAATATAATGGCAACATTACATTTTGCATTAAAGAATTATATTTAACAATAATAAATTGTTTTAGCAATAATAATAATTTCGATATATATGTATATATGTTTAATTCACTTGTTTTGTTAAAAAATAAATTTTTATTTTATAAGTAAAATATAAAAAATAATGTTAATATTACGAAATGATATAAATATCTCAATTTTACGTTTACAACAATTTTATTATATTTATTGATACTTTAGTTGATTTTATTGTTTGTATAGAATTTTTCAGAATATATATTTAATTTTTCACAATTCTTTGAACACAATATTTCTTTCAATAATGTTAATATTTGTAGAAATTTTTAAATTTTTAAATTTTGAATTTGCGATACTATCGATTTGCGATAATTTCGATGTATCGATGTATCGATATCAAGCGTTACACACTTCACGTCTCCAGTACAAGCACAGAACTGTTGTTGAAGCAGTCATCAAATGGACGGGAAAACAACTTCTAATAGTTCTTCGACCTATCGCCGCGCCAAGTAAGTTTAATCATTTTTTAATATTACGCTGATATTTAACTTATAAATCTTAGTACTCAATGAAAGTGTTATTATTTTATGTTACAACGTCAAATTGTATTTTGAGGTTAGTTTGATACTTCTCACCTAATTACATGTATTTTATAATAAATTATTATACATTCGATATTTTTATAAATATATATTATACTGAAGTGCTGAATATAAATGGAAAGAATAAATAAACAATTAGAAAAGAGAGTATTATAAATTAACATTTTATCAATGAAATTTGTATACGTACACATTGTATATATTTACAATTATATATTTTTACAGCTTAAAAATTGCACCTGGTGCAGTAGTGTGTGATGAAAGTATTTTGAAAGGAGACATTACCATTGGTGCAAAATCTATAATCCATCCTAGAGCATGTATTCTAGCGGAGGCTGGTCCCATTATAATAGGAGAAGGCAATATAATTGAAGAAATGGCAACTATAGCCAACAGGTAAGTTTAATATATTCGTATTATTTACAGAACATGCAATTTTATTTTACTAATTACTATATATTATAATAATATATACTAAAATATTATATATTTTGCAGATCACCTCCTGATGCTCCGGAATCTGTAACAGTACCAGTGCAAATAATAGGAAACTACAATGTCTTTGAAACTGATTGCACATGTGAATCATTTAAAGTTGGAGATAACAATATTTTGGAAGCAAAAGGTATATATAAATATGATTGTGAGATTAGATTACACAAGAATTAAGATTAATTACAATTAATTTTATGTCAAAAAGTCACGATTTAAGAGAATAATTCAATAAAATTTATAAAAATATAAATTTTTATACACACGTTTTGCAAATAACTTTTGTTGAAAAAACTTTTTGTCCCACAGCGCACGTTGGCCGAGAAATCGAATTAACCAATGGATGTGTAATTGGAGCTGCATGCTCTTTGACTGAACGAGAAATTGTACCCGAAAATATGATAGTATATGGAAGTCAATGTCAACGTAGGGAAATGAATGACAAACCATATGTGAGTATTGTAATATTATTATTTTTATTGTATTATTTTATAATATAAAATTTAATTTTTTTATTCTATTGTATTAATTAGCCTCAGATTGGACAGTTGGATTTTTTGCTAAAAGTGCTCCCGAACTATCATCACTTTCGCAAATCGAATTTGAAGCCGAAGTCTGGGACTAATAATATGTAATTAATCAATTTTTTATATATAATATATATATTTAATATAATATAAAATGAGAGAATAACTTTCGCATTAATCGTATTATATTTATCATACTTTATGTTTGTGATTATTCAAAGGGAATGAGAGAAAGAAACGAATTATATGTATATATTTATTTATAAATGTTACGTATGTTAATCTTTTTGTAATAAATTATATTTACAATAATTATGTTTATTATTAGAAATATAAATCTAGATATTTTAGAAAATTGTGTAGAAGATTGAGTATGTATTATAGTACACGCTTTTTTATATATGTATATTATATAATATATAATGTATATATATATATAACAAAAATGATTGTATATTAATGCTAATAATAAAAATTTCTAATTTATTTTTACATTTAAAGTGGAAACAAAATGGAAATAATAAATCACCAAAATATTCCTCCGAATTCAATTTCTTCATTGAAAATGGTAATATTCAATTTTGTGAAAATTCTCTACATCAGCATTTATTTTATTACAATTCAATTTTTGCTTTATTTGAAATATTTAAAGTCCAACATAATAATGTATTGACATAGCTCAAAATATTTCAATCATGAACTCTCTCTTTCTCTTTTTATTTTCTTAATTTAAAATCGAGAGAAAAAGTTAATTGAATGAACATTTTTATTATCCCGATATTGTGCAATATTAATACAACTAAGAAATTAACAAACATTATTATCAGTAATAATTAAATATTTCATATTTGTCGCTCGACTAATCTTGTTGAGCTTCCGTAAAAAATTAATTGATCCACAAAAAAATGAAAAGAACCCTCGCCTCTTTTTCACAACGAGCGGAAATACGAATAGAAATATTAGCCACTCCGTCTCTTAACCAACTCTCCGGGGAATTTAACGGCGTAATGCTAAACGCTACATCTATGAATATGAATTAGCATCTCGTCGAGGGTGTTGGTTGCGAACCATTTACCGCTTCCGTCAGCTTAGTGAAACGCGCCAGTGATTATCAAACTCTCCCTTATATTTGATTTTATACTTATAAAAAAATAGCATTTTGCATTGGAATTCAACAATCTATATAAAAGATAAAAGAATATATAATAATAATATCTTTATCAAGCAATTTGCTTATGATATATATTTTTGGACAAACTTTATATACTTTTCTAGATTTCAAAACTAATTTAAAAGGCAAGAAAAATCTTGAGAGCTATATAAATGTTTACTTAATACGAAAGTTTATTCAAGATAAAAGTTTCATCTTTTCAATGTTAATAGCTGAAATTCTCCAGAAATAACAGTTATATATTAATTTTATTAACCGCAATCTGGCTAGACACCGACTTAAGTATCTCTACAAAGCAATGTAGTCACAAGCGCGCCTTTACTTTAATGATCGGCCGCAGCAACCCCCCGTGACGTAACTCTTGTCGCGAAAGTGGTGACTCGAGAGAGCTGTCATATTTTGACGTCCGCAGCGGGCGTCGGAGAAAAGAGAGAAAGGGTGCGAGAAAGAGACGTAGGGAAAATGAGAGAAGAAAAAGATTATTTTCCGAGGGGGTTGAATCCGCAACCGCGGACAATCGTGAGGAAGAAGCTAACGAGGAGAGAGAGCTCCGAATGCTTTTCTAACAAATTTACGTAATCTCCTCTCGACGGCGTCACTCGCTTCGTTCACGAGATTATCTCTCTCTCTCCTTACGGTTGATTTATTTAATAATTTGCAAGAAGAAATGCAATCGTATCGCGTGATATAAATAAAGATATAATTTTTGAAATCTCTTAAAAGAGATATATATAGTTTTCCTTAAAAGAAATATTTTTACTTCACGGGATTTTTTAAGCAAAACAATGTCGTGTTAGAATTTACTTTATTCATAGTGTATCAGCAAGTACTCCTTTTCATCACTAATCTAATTTCACTTAGTTAGTGTAATATATTTAATAAAGACAATATATATTAAATTAACTAACAGAATTTATAGTAAAGAAAATGAAGAAAAAAATTATATAATTACACACTCTTTAATTCGAAATCAAAGAGACAAAACAATCATCCCTTATCCACACAATTACGCCAAAGCTAACTATGTATGCAAATGAGAATTAAATATAAATTATACGAGAAGGCAAATATGTACATGTGAAGTAATCGCGTAAAAGTGATCACACATCGCAAACTCGGAGGCAAACCGTGTATATTATTTAACTGAGAGATTCAATTCAAGGGGTCGAGGTTTGAGCATCGAATTAGGCGTTTGCCGTCAAAAGTCGCTTGAGCGATTGTCATGATCGCGAGCGAACGATAATAATCGACGGACAGCCCTAGGGGTGTGTTTTGATTTTAACCGCTACGGTCGTCAACTATCACGCGCACACACATGCACACTTACGGAGTATCTGCGCAACTAAACTAGGAGAGAGACAGATAGAGGGAGGCTTTATTTGGTGGGTACATGGAAAGGAAAGAGAACACGAAATCAACCCCCTCTCACCCCCTGACCTCCCCGACGTTCCAGTCTCGCAAATTGACGTCCGCAGACATGAACCCCGCTCGTCCAATGCCAAACGAGAGTGACGAGCGTTGCGAATCCACGACTCGCTTAACATTTCCATTGTGAGCGCCGTCCCCGGGGTTCGAGAGGCGGAAAGAACGGGGAGATGTGTTGGAAGAGAGAATCTGGCGTCGCGCGCGCGCCAAAGCCTCGATGCTACGTCGAGGATTATAATAATTGCGAATTAATATTACTAATCGGCCGACAAAGTTGACCGATCGACATTATCGCGTTGGCCGGAAATCTTATAATCATCGCGGAATTTTCACGCGCAATCGATTCGAACAAATTTCTGGTATAAATAAGTAAATTAATTTGTAAATATAATTGATAGATTTTTAGTTTTTTCAAAAATTATTTTTATTTACTTATTTAGCGATTTATTAAAAATTAATTTATGAATATTAATACTAATTTCGGAACGTATCTTCGTTTATATTTATCATCGAGTAATTTCAATAATATACAATATTTTAAAAAATACAAATTTATGATAATAAAAAAGTTTCATTTATCACGGTTAAATAAACCAAGACACAAACGCGATCCATTTCAATCAGTTTGTAATCTGTACAAGGGAGGCGGAGAAAGGGAAGATGAAATAAGAGATGTGTAACAGAGAAATATGCAATCTGCATCGGCGCCGACCAGATTTTTCTGCCAAATCATACGCGAAAAATTCATAAAGGCCCACCGGAATTAAGAACGTAAAAATTGTATTTCCATATTTTTATTAAAAAAAAATAATTTTAACTGTAAAATAAAAATACATTACGTCGAAGTATCAATACATGAGACATAATATACTTAACGATGTCAAATATTCCAACGTAATTTCAATAAATGAACAATTCTGGTTTCGATTTCGCGAAAAATGAAGATATATTACAAATGACTAGAAACTTTTCCCCAATTTTTTGAATATTTCCTACATAGAAGGGGCGCAATTTTTCGCACCCTTTTCGCTGCGCCTATGACACTCTCGATACAATGATGAACGATTGGATCGCGACAATGAATAATACTCGACGGGCGACGGTTAAACGCAGGAGCGGATCGGATCGGGTCCGCCTACGAGAAGGTGGAGGAGGCCCAGAACGCGCGGGCAAACCACCCGTAAAATCCAAAAGGGAGCCGCCGACGCGGAGATGGGAAAGCGGGGGGCCGCCCGGGTGACTCTGTGACGCGATTATGCTAACGAAGTTGTTCCATTGTAGCGCTGTTTACAGCGACGCGCGCATTAAGGCTACGGAACAATGGGACGGCCGCGATGGAGAATCCTCGGAAATCGGGACGCGCCAGGACGAGAGAGTTATCTCGCTAACGAACGACTCGACTTCATCTCGATCGTCATCTTGAGTTAGAGGAGATAAATAATTGTTGTCCTTATTAAGGACGACACTGCGCTGAGAAGACAAATTAATTTTAAAAAAACCAGTGCCAAAACAATTCTTTGTTATCCCCTATATCAATAAAATTTCAGAAATGATTGTCTCTTCGGTAAAAAATACGGAACTCATAACAGGATACAGATGTATCAATAACTCGATAAAATTATTAAGACGCAAGAAGATAAAAATGAACACCCATGTACGTCAAATGTAGTCTATAAGATCAATTGTGAAGATTGCAACGCTTCATCTCGATCGTCATCTTGAGTTAGAGGAGATAAATAATTGTTGTCCTTATTAAGGACGACACTGCGCTGAGAAGACAAATTAATTTTAAAAAAACCAGTGCCAAAACAATTCTTTGTTATCCCCTATATCAATAAAATTTCAGAAATGATTGTCTCTTCGGTAAAAAATACGGAACTCATAACAGGATACAGATGTATCAATAATTTCGATAAAATTATTAAGACGCAAGAAGATAAAAATGAACACCCATGTACGTCAAATGTAGTCTATAAGATCAATTGTGAAGATTGCAACGCTTTATCTCGATCGTCATCTTGAGTTAGAGGAGATAAATAATTGTTGTCCTTATTAAGGACGACACTGCGCTGAGAAGACAAATTAATTTTAAAAAAACCAGTGCCAAAACAATTCTTTGTTATCCCCTATATCAATAAAATTTCAGAAATGATTGTCTCTTCGGTAAAAAATACGGAACTCATAACAGGATACAGATGTATCAATAATTTCGATAAAATTATTAAGACGCAAGAAGATAAAAATGAACACCCATGTACGTCAAATGTAGTCTATAAGATCAATTGTGAAGATTGCAACGCTTTATCTCGATCGTCATCTTGAGTTAGAGGAGATAAATAATTGTTGTCCTTATTAAGGACGACACTGCGCTGAGAAGACAAATTAATTTTAAAAAAACCAGTGCCAAAACAATTCTTTGTTATCCCCTATATCAATAAAATTTCAGAAATGATTGTCTCTTCGGTAAAAAAATACGGAACTCATAACAGGATACAGATGTATCAATAATTTCGATAAAATTATTAAGACGCAAAAGGATAAAAATGAACACCCATGTATGTCAAATGTAGTCTATAAGATCAATTGTAAAGATTGCAACGCTTCTTATTTGGGCCAAACGAAGAGACAATTGCAGACAAGAATGAAAGAACACGTTAACAACATA